GCTGGCTGGGGAATTCTGGGAGTTGAAGTCCACCCATCTTAAAGCATGCTGGCTGGGGAATTCTGGGAGTTGAAGTCCACACGGCTTAAAGTTGCTGAGGTTGAGAAACACTGACCTAGCTGAACCCCCTTTGCAGACATTTAACATCCAGGGATCCTGATCAAGGAAAAAAAGGGGAATCAGCTTTTCCCTTAGTTGCATTTTAATCCAGTAGGGATAATGAGTTTTATTTGATTGCTTCGGATGAAGGAGCAGAGAAGTGTCCAGCAAAGACATATTTTAATTTCTAAAACAGGCAGGATACCCATTGAGGGGCCCCCCTGGTGGGGAGAAGTGAAATTGCATTTCATGTGACTTCTGGCAGGAGAAACAGACTGGGCTGGTATCAGTCCGTAGCCAGCTGGTTTCAGAGTTGGAAGATACTTTCCAAAGGATATTTTAAACCTCAGAGGCCCACTTTTGGAGCCTTTCTCCAAGACTGTGCTCTTAAAATCCAGCTTTGGCGAGAGGGTTTCCTTTCTTCTGTGGGGCTTTGAGACTGGGCTTGAAAGAGGAGAAATTTCCTCTAAGGAGGGAAAAAATTCACCCCCAATAATCTAAACACTGTAATGCCCCTTTTCTCTGCACCCCAAAAGAGCTGCAAAATATGGCTTAGCGGGGGTCCCCAAAATAAAAAAAAAGAAATTAGCAATCCTCTTGCTGGGGAAACACCCCACCCTTTTGCTTATTCCTGTTCTATCTTGGAAGATATGTTCCTTTTGGCCGCAGGAATTCCAGCTGCCTCTTTCGGTGGGAAAATTTCAGACGGGGGTGGCGTAGGCGGTCTCGAGGTTCCCTTTCCAACTCGGCCCTTCTAGACATCACCAAAACGCTGGACGTAAAGCTCGTGTCGGTCTACCGCTGACCTCGTTTCCTTCTTCCCGTAGTCATTGACCTCCTGGCGGCCACCGAAGCTCGACATATGACCAGCGTTGCGAACAAAATCCGGACGGAGCTCTTGTCGGTTCATGAGATGTACCTTTTATCCACCTTCCGCCTGCCCCCCAAACAAGGGGGGGTGCTATTTGGCCTTTACTACAAGAAGGACAACAGCCGATGGTTCGAAGTCTCCGTTGTTGGCAAGACGAATAAAGGTGGGAGAGACAGGAAGTGCAAAGACGTTAACCAGCTTTGCATAACAACGTTTCTAGAGAACAGTCTTCCCGGTTATCTTGATTATTTTAAATGGGAAATGCTGGGATTTTCTTGTTTTCAGTCTCCTTAATCTTTTCCTAGTCCTTAGAATCGCCGAGAATTGGACACGATCGAACAGATATCCTCATCAATATTTTCCTAGCTTCTGTCTCTGTGATATGTTCTTCCCCTATTCCTGCAGAATTGTGCATAATTTTAATCGCCAACTCTATGCTGATCTATAACGTAATAAAAAGTTGACTGACGGATCGATCGATTGATAATTGCCAACTAATGCCGAGATCGATCTTCCAGTTTCTATCTTAATCCAGCTTCTTCTCTTCTATCTTAATCACAACTAATCACCAAAATCTATCTCCCGGTTTCCCGCAAACATACCCAAAAGCCTTTATTTATTTTTATTTACTTATTCATTAGATTTGCACACTGCCTGATTCCCAGCAACTCTTCCCTTTTTCAGTCTCATTCTTAGAAGAAACTTGAATGTCCTTGGGAGGTGTTGGTGATTTTAGCTTGTGGTGGTAGCACTGTGGACTGAATTCTCCTCTTTTATGATTGCCTCCAACTCTCAGTCTGAAAAATCCCCATGGAAGGACTTCTCTTTTAAAAGAAAAACAGCAAACACAATAGAGTGTGTTTAAATTTTTATCTTCCCTGGCACAGTTGCTGTTTTACTGTTTTACCCCCTTATTGGTTTATGTTTCCAAGCTTCTTATAAGCGCTTAGAATCATTAGAGGACAGGGTGACCCTGTTGAATTAATAAAGGGCATTAATAAAAAGGGGATGTTGAAAATGAAATGCATCAAAAGCATAAGAAAATTCTGGCACAGAACTAGCGTCTTCTCTCCTTCTCGCTCGCCTCGCGCACAGTCCTCATCCGATACTTGCGTGCCGACGGGAAGCTCCACTCGGTCAACCTGCAGAATTCCAACCTGTCCGATGGGCGTAGCCACACCGTCCTCCTGCGGGTCAGTGGCCTGAAAGGTAGCAGCCTTTCCCTAGAACTGTACGTGGACTGTAAGCAGCTGGACTCCAATACGAGGTTGCCCGAAATGGCAGCTGTTGACCAGGGGAAAAACGAGGCGGTAGAAGTGAGAACAGGACAGAAAACCTATCTCCGAATGCAGGTAGGAATACAGTCATCCCTGTTCCCACATTCAGGGGACCGAGGGGTATAAATCCAGATGGGGCTGTGCATAGGAAAACAGATAAGAAGTTAAAATCTCTGCCGTGAAAGTCAAATTATATTTAAAAGGAACTCATCCAGCTTTAACAAGTAGTCCCTGTAAGGATAAACGAGTAGGTTTATCAGAGCAAAATAATCATTCCAAATTTCACTGTATTACACTGGGAATTTTTTTCCCATTTAGCGTGTGGACAGTGGAAAAACATGGGGAGGATATGTTTCTTTCCACTGGTGCTATTCTTCCTGTCTCATATTTTCAGGGCTTCGTAGAATCATTGAAACTGATCCTCGGAGGGTCAATAAGTCGAGTAGGAGCTTTGAGCGAATGTCCCTTTCAAGAGGACGAATCCATGCAGAACACGGGTAAGCGTCAGGTGAAAAAGCCCACCCCCCAGCACAGGATTTTAGAAAACCAGCAGGGCCCTTAGTTCTCCTTGTCCCACGGTCCATCTTAGGCGGGGAAGTGTGAATTATAACAGGTGTGTGCTTTACGGTGTTTGGGGAAGCTATCCTTGGATCTCGCCGAGAACGGGACTCGGCTTCTAATGGGGTCCTCTTTTCGATGAGTTGTTGGATTCTTTTAAATCTTGCTCTCACATCTTTTCTGTCCCCCCCCACCCTTCTTTTTTTTCTTTTCCAGTGTCCAATGTGATCAATTCTCTCTTTGGTGAGTTTGGATCAGGGCCTCCTGTCGCATAGTCTCTTCCCCGTTTCCCGCAGATAGCACTGTGTTTGGGGATGGATTTAGCACGGGGAGGCCCCTGAGCCACGGGGAAGCCATAGAGGGTCTTGTTGACAAGCACTAACAGAGAAGGCATCTGGGTCTTGGCATGAACGTGGCCAAGAAGCAGAACCAACAAGAGGCATTTTCCTTGTGCAACAGGTGAGCAGACCAAGGCCCTCGTAAGGCAACTGACACTTTTCAACCAAATTCTGATGGAACTTCAAGAAGACATCAGAGACCAGGTAGAGCTCCCAGAGAAGTTGGGGATCATTGGAAAGTCTGCGTGGTTTGAAATATTTCAGTGCTAGGATCAAAGACTTTTTTTTTAAAATGCCAAGGTTAAAGTCAGATAGACTACCCACTTTTCCCCCCGTGGGCACGGAGGATGGTGAGGTCGCACTCAGGCGTCTGAATTATCGAGATAACAAACGGAGGATTTAAACACGCCTTTTCGACCCCAGGGAATTTTTGAAGATGAAGAATAATATTAAGATGTAAAACTCGTGCATCTTAACATGACCCTTACGTTTAGTTTTTTTCCTAGTTTTAAGACTGCAATCTTGAAGAGTTAGGGAGGGGGAGAATGAAATATATATCTATATCTATATCTGTCTATATATCACATATAGCAACCAGCCATGGGAATATTTAAATATTTTTAAAAGCAGAGATATCCTGCCTGGTGCCAGAGACACAAACTCCATAGTCTAGTAAAAATCAAGCTGTAACAAATGCCAGAAAGGGTGTGGTTTTATTTTATTTTATTTTTTTTAATTTAAGGGCTGCCTTCTCCAGCAGCCCTGGACTATAGATTCCTATAGATAAATCCATATAGATATATAGAGAGAATTATTTTTAGCTAAATTTAATGTGGATATTTATATTCTTACTGTTTTGGATTTTAACAGTGAGCCTCTGGGGGAGATGGGCGGCTTATAAATTTAATAAATAAATAAAAATAAAGAGGCTTTACGGTTCCCAGTGAATGTGGCCAAGAGGGTTGGATTAAATTTTCTGGGCATGGAAACCTTTCCCTCTCCATTTTAAGTCTGTTTTAAGGGAAGCCACATTAAGATCCGAAAAGGACCCCAACATTGTTACCACGTTTACCACTCATTTGCCCCAGTTTGATCAAAGGAGGGGGGCTAAGAAGATGTATCGATCGCCCCCATCTGGCCTCCGAGCATGTGAATCTGTTGCTCGGTTGAGTAAACCACAGATTAACCAGGTTCAATCACAGCTTGTTCAATCCACAAATAAACTGTCCTTGTGAGATCTGGTGAAAGATGAGCTTTGCACCCAAGCGACTTTTTCTTCTCTTCCAGGTGCCACCCAGAGTCACCCATTGGGGGAGATGGGCGGCATACAAATTTAATGACTAAATAAATAAATAAAAATGATAGAATCCTGGCCCCCACGACTCTTTTATAGGTAATAAAATATTGATATCTTTCCCCCCCCAGGTCAAGGAGATGTCTTTAATACGGAACACCATAATGGAATGCCAGGTGTGCGGTGAGTTGGAAAAGCAGGGTGGGAAGATTCAGAGATCTCTGGCAAGTGAATTCTGCCACGATAATGCCCTTGAAACTCCTTCCAACTCCCCATTTTGGCTATATAATTAGCAATCAGGCAAGGCGAGGGAAAAGTACATTCGATAAAGTCGATAAATAATTAAAATAGGCATAGGGAGTACGTAGGAAAGAGTCCCTTGTAGGGCATTTGATTCAACTTCATTTTTCCTATCTGGGAGAGATCCATCTCTCGTGCCTTGAATTTTATAACTAGGGACATACAAAGCAACGGAGGAAGGCAATGAAATAACCCAAAGTTATGAAAATTCTCTGGGGGAAAAAAACTTTATATTTTCCATGCAAATAGGTGGGATTCACCTTCATGATTCACTCCCGTATTCTGCTGTAGGAAACCGACTCTGGTTTGGGCTGTGCATTTTCCATCTCAGCTTAAGGCTTCTTGAGAACTAGAAACTTGCCAGATCATCAGTGTGTTCCCCTAGGGTGATTATTCCTCTGTTCCAACGTCTGGGGAATTGACCCCTCCCTTCCCATTTATCCCGCGTTAGGGTTTCATGAACACCGATCCCGTTGCAATCCGAACCCGTGTTTCAGTGGCGTGGACTGCATGGAGACATATGAATATCCAGGTTATCGTTGCGGGCCTTGTCCTCCTGGTTTTGAAGGGAACGGCACCCACTGTGCTGATATCAACGAGGTAAAGACACGTTGACTCATATGATTTGGTCTTGTCCCGCCATAGCTCCTCTTTTGATTTCACGTTACGGCATATCTTAACACAGCGCTGGGAAAAAGGTATAACATGTTGAATTACACTCCTAAAATACGGAATCTGGCGATTTAGAAACACTTTGGCTTTTCTCGAAAGCCTTGGGTTTAGAAAAGAGAACGTTGCTTCTACTATAATTTTACGTACATTATTTTATACACATCATTTTATGTAGATGGAAGGAAACGGCTTCTCTTGATGTTAAGGAATGGATTCAAGAGAGGTGTTGGTTCTCACTTTTCCACTTTTGTATTCTAAAAATGAGAAAATGGAACACTACATGTTGATATGACTAGATTTAAGGGTTGAACTAATCTTATTTTGATATAACCCGGGTCTGTTTTCCCCCCTCTTTTGCCTAGTTCCTACTTCACTAATAAAGAAATAAAAAATTAATAGCAAAAGCAGAGGGGCTGAAAAGGATGGCACTAGGTGAAAGCCAGTGTGGTGGAGAAATGTCCAAGGTCTATTTTTCCATGTTTCTTGTCTGATTGCAGTGCTTGTATGCCAACCCCTGTTTTCCTGGGTCCAAGTGCCTCAACATCGCACCCGGTTTTCGGTGCGAGCCGTGCCCGCCTGGCTACAAGGGAAATCTTGTCACCGGAGTTGGGGCCGATTACGCCAAAGCCAGCAAGCAGGTGAGAAACTGAAACTCAAACTTCAGGTTAAGGAATTTAGGCTTATTTTTTTTCTTCCAACCCAAATAGCAGCCCTTTGAGGTAGGACAGGTCAAGGAAGAGAAGCAGCAAAGATTCCAGGAATGTTCCTTTGTAGGGTAGAATAGCTGAATCTTGAAAGCCTGTCTGGTTTTCTCTCTACTGCGTCTTATGCCAAGCAAAATCGAGGCAGGGTTATGTTAAACTTCTCACGTCTCCGTCTTTGTCAGGACTATCAAATCTTTTCTGAAAGTCCCCCCTTAATGGTTTGCTCCTTCCTTTCCCCTCCCCAAAACCAGGTCTACCTTCCTCCAACCACCCAGAGTCACTCTGCAATGAGATGGGCGGAGACAAATTTGAAATATCTATCAATCAATCAATCAATAAGATGGGCAACAGTTTACCTTTTTTTAACTGGTTGGGGTACAAGCCAAGATTTAGCTGAGGGGCATATGTGGAAGAGTAGGATGCCGACCCCTTTGGTTCAGGATTCAAATGCTATACTGTCTGCCCTGCTCCTGGTTGGCTAAGCAATCTCCCGTTTCCACCAGATTTGCACAGACGTCGATGAATGCAACGACGGGAACAATGGAGGGTGTGACCCCAACGCAATTTGCACCAACACGGTGGTGAGTAGCTCAATTGGGGAAGGCAGGGAGGGGGCGAAACGAATGTGCGAGGCCCGCAAGGAGCAAGTGCACAAGAGAAGACAATTCCAAGGCTTCTGCAGGAAATCGTTCAGGGAGGCCAGCCTGATAGTACTCTGTTCTGGTGGCAGCAAAAAAATGGGATTTAAAGGTGTGGGGGGGTCTTCTGATGGCTCGTGCCAAATGTGAAATGAGTTGTCAAAGGCGCTAGGTAAAGATCATAATCAGCTAGACTTAAAAACAGGACTATTGTATTTTTCCACATGAAAAGAAAAGCCCTCGAAATTCTATATTATGGGGTTTTCAGGCATTCAAAGCACATGAACTCCTGGTGGTCTTTTAACCGCCTCGTAAGGTAGGTCAGATTTCTTCTTCCTATTCTGTCCATGGGGGAGAATTTAGGCTGTGAGTTCACGGTGAGGTTGGGAAACTGGCCCAGTTTGAAGCCCATGATGCTGGGCAGGTTGGTCCTCCCTCATTTCATGGGTGTCCCCACTCCTTCCCTTAGGGGTCTTTCAAATGTGGGCCATGCAAATCCGGCTTTGTGGAGAAGGTGCCAGGCAGCTGCACCCCCCAGAAGGCTTGCGAAAGCCCGAGTCACAATCCCTGCGACATCAACGGCTACTGCCTTTTCGAACGCAACGGCGACATTTCCTGTTCGGTAAGACTTCTCCCAGCCGAGGGGTCCTGCTCCGAAAGCACAATCACATTCCTTCCTGATGCTTGTGGAACAGCTGGGGGCTAGGTGGGAGGGGTAAGGTACGCTGCTCTTAAGCGTGGAGGCTCCATTTAGCTGTGAGCAGTTCTTGGAGGGCCAAAGCAGCTGAGGTTTCTTCACCAGATGGGCTGCATTCCCCAGGAGCATCATTTCCCACCGGTGGGCAGTTCCAGACCCCAAAGTGGGTAGGGCTACCCGTTCTCTCTCTCTCCTCCCCACTTTCTGACACCTTCTTTCCTCCCACTTTCGTGGCATCCTTGGTGCTCTCTGAGCTTGGTGGTTTTCTTGGAGACATTTTATGAGCCAACTAGGTAACACCATCAGGGTTAGTGAGTGTGGGGTTTGCTCCCTGTTTCTATACAGTCACTTGCCTCACCAGTGGGGGTGGGGGTGCGGTTTTCTCCTTGCTAGTCCCTTGATTAGGGTATTGTTTTCTATGAACAGGGAGCAAACCCCACCCTCCCCAGCCCTGATGATGTTCCCTAGTTGGGTCACGAAACATCTACAAGCAAGCCACCCAACTCAGAGAGCCCCAGGACTCCCCAGTTCGACCCTGAGCTCCAGCAATTCTCTTCTGTGGGCACCCTCTTCCTTCACACAGGATGGCAGGCTGCTAGTGAGGGGGGTAACAGAAGAACAATTCCCCCTTTCAAACAGCTTTTAAAATTAGGCTCCTTGTGGCATGCGGGGTGCTCATTGACCCCCCCCCTTGGAGAGACACCTCCGGCCCCTTTCTCTTCCTGTTTGCTGTTTTCCAGGTTTATGACGGAGCTGTCGCCATTGTGCCCAACGTTCTGCACGCGCGTAGTTACAGACACCCAAACCTTGGTTGCCCACGTCCTTAATAAACCATGCTGTTTTTCCTCTGCCCGTCCAGTGCAACGTGGGTTGGGCCGGGAACGGAAACGTGTGCGGGAGGGACACCGACATTGATGGCTACCCAGATGAACCGTTGCCCTGCATTGACAACAACAAGCATTGCGCGCAGGTAAAACGCTACTCCGGGAGGATCTTCCAACAAACGCACTCAGGTCTTGTGTGTGCAGGAAAACAGCCCGTTTGCTGAGTTGTTAAACTCCAGGCAATCAGTGTTCAGCAGTATGTGATACCAGAGTTAATATTTTTCACTGGAATTATAAGTTGAATTCCCCTTTTGGGTTTGTGGGCAGAGGATTTTATACTGTTTTTGCACTGGCGTGGCACATGAACTAACTAACTAGCCAAGTTTAAAAGGAAGCTTCGCTGGGTAACAGGAGCGCAAATACTAGGTAGCTCAAGGAGTGGTATGAATTTGCCTCATGCTTGCCCACTTCTTTCAGGACAACTGCCGGTTGACCCCTAACTCCGGGCAGGAGGACGCAGACAACGACGGCATCGGAGACCAGTGTGATGATGACGCCGACGGCGATGGGATCAAGAACGTGGAGGTGCGCCGGAACTCAGTGTCCGACATTAACCCCGTGCCCTGGGTGGGCGTCCGCAAAGCCAGCCCCACCCCGTCGACAGAAAGCTGGCTATTTTCAAGGACACTTCAGGGCTTTGCAGGCCCCCCCAGAAAATAAAAAGAGTTGGGGGGCTGCAGAACAGTGCTTCTGTTTGAAAAGATGCCCCCCGGCTTCTTTGTAAATGAGGCGAAGCATTTGGAGTCTCAGTGGTGCTAGATTGCTTTTAAAGCGTGGTGAAGGGGAGCCTTGCCCCTTTCCCTTCTGGGAAATAGAGGCAGCCCTCCCTTATGCCCACAGGGCTGCCCACAGCGGGCAAGAGCGCCCACCGTGGGCACACATCGCTCAATTCCCCTGATCTCAAAATCAGAAAATGGTACAACAGCCGAGATCGAACAAGGCCATTCGCTGCTGGAACCTAATCGGACCCCTTCTTGTTCTACAGGATAACTGCCGGCTTTTCCCCAACAAAGACCAGCAGAACTCGGACACAGATTCATTTGGGGACGCTTGTGACAACTGCCCCAACGTCCCCAACAACGATCAAAAGGACACGGACCACAACGGGGAAGGGGATGCATGTGACAATGACATCGATGGCGACGGTAAGGCCTTGGAGTAGTTCGGCAGCTCAGGGGCAGAACGGCACAAGGGATGTGTGTCTCTTAGCCTTGCATCGCTGCTTTTCGGAGGAGACCGAACCCGCCAGGAACGCTTGTCTAGTTATGAATCTTTGAGCACTGATTGGCTGAGCTTCTGTGATGTCAGAGCACCGATGCAGGCAGGGCCAGCCCTACCGTTAGACCAAGGAGAGAAATTGTCTCAGGTCGCAGATTCTGAGTGTTACGAAAGGGCAAGGGAAGGTCCATTATTTGCGATTTAAGTTTTACAGCCCCAAAGAGTAAACCAATGAGGGTGCTCAAATAAACTTACTTGATTGATTGATTGATTGATTGATTGATTACCCATCTCAGAGCAGTGACTCTAAGTGGTGTACTCGACTGCCTTGGGGGAAGATTTAAAAACTTTGACTTGTAAAGGTACTGTTCTCTACAAACAAGGAAAACGATACCGAAAAAGACTTGGGCATGGGGAACCTGAACAGGAAAGTTTGCTAACTCTTGTTCCCCTCTCTAGGGATCCCCAACGGGCTGGACAATTGTCCAAAGGTGCCCAACCCGCTGCAGACAGATCGTGACGAAGATGGTGTTGGGGACGCTTGCGACAGCTGTCCCGAAATGAGCAACCCAACTCAGGTTTGAGCTCCCAGGAAGCTGGAGTCAAGAGAAGGGTAGACTTGATGATCCATCTTGAAATTGGGGGATTTGGGGAGTTGTAATTCCGCAAAACCTGGGGAGCCTCAAATGCCGCCCTCTCGCAAGTGCTTTGTCCTTTTGGAAGACAAAGCTACTCTGATCCATTTGGGAGAGGGCGGCTTTTGAGGCTCCCAGGTTTTATGGAACTACAACTCCCAGAATCCCTAAGAGTGGGCCATGTTGGCTGGAACTGCTGGGAATTGTGGTTCAGCCACATCGCAATGCTAATTGGCTGCCTATAGCTAGGGCCATGTTTTTATTATACTCTGGACATTATACTTCCTTAAATCTGGACAACCAAGGTGTGGGTCAATTTAAATAAATGAGACAAAATTGTGCTTAGGAGTGAAGACTAGTGAGCAGGGGGCTAAATGCTAGGCATGGAAGGATAAAAAGAAAATTCAAAAATAAAACGTTCCTAAATAGAATTAGCTGACCCCGTCTCCAACCATCTGCATATTTTAAGTATTTTTGCTTACAGATCCAGGCAGAGAAGCATTCAAGATAACAGTCCTTCCTTCAAGATTACTTTGGTTTTATTTTCACCCAGTCCCATTCTGACGCATGAGATTACCACGGGGCATGCACAAACGTACACATTCTAGATGCTTGCTTGCTCATCTGACATCCTGGTCTCTTTCAGACAGACATGGACAGTGACCTCGTGGGAGATGCTTGCGACACCAATGAGGACAGGTAACTTGAAACAAACTTCAGATGCTTGAAAATGCAAGTTCTATTTTAAAAACAGACTCTGTCCCCTCCAAATGGAAAACTACGATAAAACTATGATGGAGGCCTTTTGTGTCAAAGTTTTAATGGATTGTAAGCCAGGATAAACCCAACGGGTGATAGGAAAGGTGGGAGACCAAACGCTGTGGCTTGGAAACATTTGAAAAAAACCGGTGAGGAAAAGGTTAAACTGAGAGGGGACCCATACTCTCAAAGTCTCCGTAAAGGAGTATGGGATTTGTAGTCCCAAACCTCTGCAGGACACCAGGCTGCTGCTGCTGCTGCTGCTATGACAGAGGTCATAAAAAAATCCTTTCCTATTCCCCCCTCCTTTTAGGATATATAAAGAAGCCCCTGTTCTTAGTGTTTTTGCTCTCGGCTGGCCAATTTTGAACCAGATGGTCAGTTCTGAAATCTGTTCTAGTCAGTTTCACCCCAGGAAAAGAGCTTCAAGAATAGGAGGAACACCACTGTTGTCCTGCTGGAACATAACGTCCTAGGGAATCTGCTCTAGATATTGCCGTGGGGAGATCCAACCTGGAAAACAACTTAGTGCTGGGGGAGAAAATCTCTTGTATATCTTTTGACGGGTTCTCAATTCATTGGATGGAAGAAGCACCCCCATTTCACTCATGCCGCTTCCCCCTTCTCTCCCCCAGCGATGGTGACGGCCACCAGGACACCAAAGACAACTGTGCAGAAATTCCCAACAGCTCGCAGCTGGATTCAGACAACGACGGGCAGGGCGACGACTGCGATAATGACGATGACAACGATGGGATCCCTGACTATCTGCCTCCCGGTCCAGACAACTGCCGCCTGATCGCCAACCCCAACCAGAAAGATGTCGATGGTAACAGTCCTTGTGGGGAGGGAGCGACGATACCTTAAACCTCCGTGTTTTTGCAGAGAGCATCACTGCCTTCTCTGTCGTATGTGTGATGCTGGGACGGCTATCTTCCTGTAATGGTATGTGGGAAAGACCTTGGAAGATGGGGCCAAGAGACGCTGCCAAGGGAACGGTCGGATAAGAGATGGCTTAGCCCTCAGCTGTATAACGGATTGAGAAAGAAACTCAGGAGGGACCCTCCCTAGTTTCTCAGGCTGAAAAAGAGATGGTAGGGGGGAGAATTATACTTTCAGGCTTGCAAGATTTTGTTAATGTAGCTTTACAATAAAGTAGAATTAGCTTATCTGGTCATGTTTCCTGTCTGGTCTACCTAGTAAGGCTGATATCAGTCTTTACAATAAAGTAGAATTAGCTTATCTGGTCATGTTTCCTGTCTGGTCTACCTAGTAAGGCTGATATCAGTCTTTACAATAAAGTAGAATTAGCTTATCTGGTCATGTTTCCTGTCTGGTCTACCTAGTAAGGCTGATATCAGTCTTTACAATAAAGTAGAATTAGCTTATCTGGTCATGTTTCCTGTCTGGTCTACCTAGTAAGGCTGATATCAGTCTTGCAAGTCTGAAAGTACAAATCTCCCGCCATTTCCTTTATAGCCTGAGAAACTAGGGAGCGTCCCTTCTGAGCCTCTTTCTGCACCCATTATACAGCTGAGGGCTAAGCCGTCTCTTATCTGACCGTTCCCTTGGCAGCATCTCTTGGCCCCTCTCTCAAGGTCTTTCCCACATATCATTATACTTTCCCAGCAAGGCTCAATTAGGAGTGCCTTCCTTCGGCTAATGAGTTTGCACATGTGTATTGACCCCTGCAGGCAACGGCGTGGGGGATGCCTGCGAGGAGGATTTTGACAATGACACAGTGGCTGATCCGATGGACGTATGTCCAGAGAGTTCTGAAGTGACGCTGACCGACTTCCGGGCGTACCAGACGGTCATCTTGGATCCCGAGGGAGATGCCCAGATTGATCCCAACTGGGTGGTCCTCAATCAGGTACAAGGAAGCAGCTGGAAGATCAGCCTGGCATTTGTAGCATTTCTAGCAGTCAGTTCTGAAGCTGCCGAGATGTCAGCCCAAGATGGAGGCTTCATCCTCTCTCTGATGGTTGTATTCGCTTCTCTCTACTTTCAGGGCATGGAAATTGTCCAAACCATGAACAGTGATCCAGGCTTGGCTGTGGGTAAGCAGACATTGGGTTTCCAATCCTTTTGCAACAGAAAGCACAGTGGTGTCAATCATTCCATCCTTCCAAACGTGGTGGGCAGATTCTACGGACGTTGCTGTGAAACGGGAAGCAAAAATGCCAGAGAAGAAGAACATGCTCCTCTCTTGGGGGGTTCATTCCACAAAACCCACGGTTGTCTTCCTTGGGAATAAGGTCCCACTGAACAAACTTGAACCCACTAACTTCGAACTAACTTGTGAACTAATGAATAAGGCACCATTGAACTAACAAGTTAAGTTGACAGCAAGATGGCCAGATCCTGGGTCCCCAGCGTGGCAGCCAGTTTTAGCACAGAAGTTAAAATGCTGAATTTGGACCCGAGAGCTGCAGAGAGACTCAATCAGGCATTCCCTAAGCCTGGCCTACTCTATAAGGTTGCTGTGAAAGAAAAGTAGGGGTCACCTACATTTTATTTATTTATTTATATTTTGAATTGACACCACCCATCTCATGAGGAAGTGACCTATAAGCTGCCTTGAGTTCTCTGTAGAAACCCAATAGCAATAATTATCAACCTAAATTTAATAGGCCATGGGAGGGGGGAGTCCATTGGCGTTGGGCAGCTAATCCATTCAAATTCAAATAAACTTTATTCCTGATTCTCCACGAAATCCCAGAGCGCATCATCGTAGCAGTTGACATCCTTGGCACCATGCAAATGATGTCATGGAGGCCACGATATCATCCGTGATGTCAATCAATGCAGGAGTTTAGCCCGCTCTGTCAAGGCCTGGTTAACTGAGGTTTCATGTTAATAATGACAATAATAACAATATTAATCATCGTCCAAGTTCTCTGCTTGTACCTATTTTTTGTTTTTAAACAATTCTTCAAATGTCTCTGGGTCTCACATAGGTCAGGCCTCCCTGGGCGAGGCAGATCTTGTAGTCTGTTTCAGGTGCTTGTGCAAAGAGTTAAAACAAACTACTTCCTTCCGATTTTTTTTGGATTCGGTGACAGGCAGGTCTGATATTAGGTTGTTTGCTTTTGACTACACGAGAAGGAGCTTTCACGGCATAGATCCCTAAGATGATCTTAGAAAATACAGGTGGTCCTCGTTTTGTGACCGTCCGCAGTTACGACGGTGACGAAAAAGACTTGGCGACCAGGCCTTGCGTTGACGACCTTTGCAAGTCTGGAAAGCGAAAGGAAGATGTCCGCTTCGCTTAACAACTGAGTTGCCGGTCCCCATTGCGGTCACTAAACGAGGACCACCTGTAATGAGTTCCCTTGGCTGATTGGGAAAGTGAAAGTGAAAGTAAAGAAGGGTTCCAGCTCATCCCTTTAGTTCCTGGCCCCCTGAATTTTGACCCTCTTTAATTCCTGACCCCCTAATCCTTTCACTTGACTCTGCGGGGCAGGATACACGGCGTTCAACGGGGTGGACTTCGAAGGCACTTTCCACGTCAACACTGTCACAGACGACGACTACGCCGGCTTTATCTTTGCCTACCAAGACAGCGCCAGCTTTTACGTGGTCATGTGGAAGCAAACCGAGCAGACCTACTGGCAGGCCACGCCCTTCCGGGCCGTGGCTGAACCGAGCTTGCAGCTGAAGGTCAGTGATATCCCCCGGCTTGGCCTGGGAGGGGGTACCCCAAAGGTCATCTAGCCTTACCTGCTTTCCAGAAAGAACATCTCTGTGCTCCAAAACCTTCAGGCCAACCAGCTACCAACTATTTCTAGTCGCTTTAGAATTTGCGTGCCTTCGAGCCCCTTTTCACCCAGGGCCCAGCTTAATACAGCATTCGTTAAATCCACTCGACTCCCCTCCCCTGTTACTCTCGTATGTTGCTTCTACCCATGAATCCTACGAGCTAAAGAAAGCTTCCCTTTTCAAGAGCAGTCTACCTGGGAAGACCGGCCCCTAGCTATATCTATTTTAGAGTCTCTTCCTATTCCTATGCGCCCTTTTGCAAAGGAGAAAAAGGTGGAAACCTGGAATCAATCAATCAATCAATCAATCAAGATTGGAAACCTGGAATAAATAAATGTGAACAGGAACAGAGTTTTGGCTTCACGCTTCTGAAAGTCAGGCCCGCTTCTGCCTAACCCCAATCTCAGGATCCTGTTTGACTCTATATTCTAAGAATATTTATATTTTCCCAATAAATATAGAAGGCTTTGTTTCCTCGCTAGCCCACACTAGCCAACAAAAGGAGAATTTGAAACCGTGTTTTTGTTGCTGGGCGATCCAAACCCATCCTAACTTACAGGTCACAAACCTCCCAAAGTTGGAAAGATTTGGCCAAAAAATTTGGCTCAATCGGTGCCTCCAATGCCAATGAGGTTGTTCCCTTCTCCTCTTGGCAGGCGGTCAAATCCAAAACGGGGCCCGGCGAATATCTCCGCAATGCCTTGTGGCACACGGGCAACACGCCCGGCCACGTGAAGTTGCTCTGGAAGGATCCTCGCAACGTGGGGTGGAAGGACAAAACCTCTTATCGCTGGCGTCTCTTGCACAGACCCCAAGTCGGGTACATCCGGTAAGAATAATTAGGAGAAATTCGGTTTTCTGTTTGGGTTTCCTTGCTTCACAGCAGCTCAAACTGCAATGCTGGTTTTTCCAAGAAGAGAGAACCGAGCAGGGTCCTTGCCACCTTATCTTCTCCACAACCCTGCGAGGTTGGCAACACCAACCGATCCAAAGCCAGGGAGAGTAAGATTTTCAGAAGTCCTTCTCTGCCCTCTGTGTTTTTTCTAGGTTTAGCAACCTCTTTTCCACTGTTGTGGGTTTAAAGCAGTGTTCCTCCACCGTGGCGGCTTCGCTGCTTGATGGGGTGTGTTTTTCCCACAACAATCCTCACCCACAACAAAACAGTCGTGTTAGATCCTTAAATTTA